AGACTCTGTGGAGGTGGGATATAGATTACTTGGAATGATATTAATCGCCATGGCCCCGCTTATGGAGCCAGGTGCTTTGTATCATTATCCTATACTTCTTGGTGTAGGAACTGGTAGTATTTTCATTTATCCAGAAGGAAGCCATGCTCTGAGAAGGGAAATGACTTGCTCAAGGTCACTCAGCTCATCCACGACAGGGCCAAGTTCATACCCAGGCCTATCCGACTCCACAGCTTGAGGCCCCCTCCCCTGTGCTCCCTCTGGTACCCAGGCAGTCAGCATACTCACTGCTGTCATGAATGGGCTGGGAGATAACTGGCTTCAGGGGCAGGGAGAAGGAACCGTCGCTGGCTCGAAGGAAGGCAGAAAAGCGCAGCCGCACAATGCTTAGATCCATCACCTTCTTCAGCTCTTTGGCCTCCTGCTCTAGCTCCCGCCGCTCAGCCTCTGGGCAGCGGGCAAACACATGACCTTTGGACCACTCCTTCTCCCCTGCTCTTTTCAGGACCACCTCCCACACTCCCCTCCTCACCCACCTACCCGTAAGGCCCTGGGGCCTGGAGCGCAGTCGCTGCCGCTGAAGTTTTTGTATCATAATCTCCATCATGTTCTTCTTCGTCACATGCAGGACACCCAGGTTGTTAAATCTGGGTGAGGGGAGGAAGAGTCAGAGGCCTTGTAAACAGTTCATTCTTCCTGAGGCACCCTCCCCACCCTCCCCACAAATAGGGCTCAGTTCAGCCCTATTTCCTCTAGGAAGCTGTTCTGGTTTTTCCTTAGGGCCTTTGGCTCTGGGGCCAACATTAAGTCTCTTCCCTTGGTTAGATACTAGGCTCACAATGGTGGGTTGGGGCCAAGAACTGGCAGGTAATGAGGGTGCATGCCAGTAGGGACGAGGGGTGGGGTACCTACTGGGCTGTCATGTCCTTGGGCCCCACAGACACGGCGCAGACCCCCAGCTCCGAGCATTGCTTGCCCACCAGGCTGTGAGCGTGAGCACGAGGTGGATCACTGTGTGTTACCAGGTCCACCTCAATCTTGGCTGGTCCCTCGTAGTTACAGATCTGGGAGGGGTGAGGGCCGTCAGTAATGTCCTTAGACATGCTAGCCCACCCTCCAGCACTGTTCTGGCTCACCTTGACAGTGGGATAGGTCTTCCGGCCCTTTTCGCTGGAGGCACCCGGTAATCCTCCGTGGGAGGGGCCTTCACAGCCATATCGAAATCGGAAGCCTCTCTGAAGGTACCAGGGCAGAGTGACATGGTGACCAGGAGAGACCCTCCCCAGTCACCACACCCCCAGCCAGCACGGCAGTAAGGACTGGTAGTGACTGTCCTGAACTACAACCACACTACTGTGATCATTAGCAGTCAGCCATCCCAACCACCCTCTGTGGTCAGCACTTGGCCTTTCAGCTACAGCTTCCCATGGCCACCCAGCTACAACTACCTCACTTGTCCCCAGAGCTGAAGCTTCCACTCACTCACCTGCTTAGGTTGTTCCACGATTACCAGGTAGGGGCCATCAGCTGGAGACAGAGAGGTCTTGCTGAGCTAGGATCTCTGTGCTCATCCCCAACACAGAAGGCACATGTCCACCCTCCCACTCCCTCTAAGACAACGGGAGGTTAGGGGATTTACTAACCTGTCTCTGGAGCCAGCTCCTTGGGCTCCACAATGGACGGATTGAATTTGAGATCATCATATTCAATAATGCCATCTAGACCCTGGTTTGGAGACAGACGGGTGGCAGCTAGTTCTGTGCCTTCTACCTCCCAGCCCTAGGCAATCACTCCTCCTCCCCAGGCCCATAAGAAAACTCCTGGAAACAGTTTGCAGACAGATTGACTCTCAAAGGCAGGATAAACTAATCAAAGGGTGTTACAGATGTAGGGGAGCACAGGGGACTCGGACAGACAGGCAGACAAGCAGACAGACGTAGGGGGGCCAGCGAGCCGGCTTTGAGGCCAGCTGGCGTGACTCACTGGGCCGTAGCAACTGTCCATGTTTCTGGGCTAAGCCCGGCTGTGTCTGGTGGCTCCGGCCGGTTGTTTCCCAGAGTTTCAGGCGTCTGCCTTAGGTTGGGGAGAAAGGGGGGTGGGGGAGTGGCGGTGGGAGGGAGAGACAGATCAGGACCGTAGTCGGGGGAGAAAGGGAGCCCAGATTTTGGGGAGGGTCCGACCTCCTCCAGCCACCCGTCCGGGTGTGGCGGGCGAGATCCGGTGAAGGGCGAGATCCGAGATCCGGAATTGGGCTGGGCTGGGCTGGGCCGGGGAAGGGGCAGGAAAGTTAGAGCCGCTTAGGAAAGTCCCGAAAATACCAGGGGGAGGCGGGGCCGAGCGGGGCGGGCCTGGAAATGACGCCGATGACCACGCCTCCATGGCGGGAGGGGCGCGAGGTCTTCGCTGCTCAGTGGGTGCCCGAAGCCTCTCAGCCCGCGGAGGGGTAACCAGACCCAGGGAAGCCCCCGTGGGGGTTGCCTCCCGCTCTTCTCTCCAAGGCAGGCGCCCGGGGCGTGTAGGTCTTTCACGGCCCGAGGCTCCTACTCCAGAGTCAGGCCCACCTCCCGCCCCCTTCCCCTGCTAGGGTCCTGGAGCAACCTTGGGATTTTCTACTCTGAGGGAGGCCACGGCTGATTCACCCCGGGGGCTTTTGGGGGGATATTTCTGATATACGAAGGCCTTTTCTCCGAAGGCCTGTAGGCGGGGGCTCTTCCCAATGGGGAGCCCTAGGGTTCAGCCCCGAGAGCGGGGCTCTGGGGCTTCGGGGCAGGGAGAGGAATGAGGTTTCCTCCTCGGGCTAGACTCCTCTATTTTCTCTCCCCGAAACCTTTTAACAATCGTTGATTCCCACGTTGCACCTACTCTGGGTGTCCAAGCTCCAAAGTCGTGTGTAACTATACATGTGTATGTTTCCATCACAGGTAAACAAGTGTGTTTCGGTCCATGTGCTTGGGTGTTTTGTGTGTGCATGGAGTCAACGTGTGTGTGCAGGTCAGTGTCCATATACTTCCCACTGTAGACACATATGTGAGCATGTCTTGCTATGCAAGGGCACAGGTGAACCTGTCTTTGAATTTGTGCGTGAAAGGGTTTGCGGTCCTTGCGCCTCTGCACGGGTGAACATGTTTGTGTGTGCATGTGTATTCGAGTTTGCAAGGACGATGCGGTGCACACGCCGGCATACATCTAGGTGTACGCACCGGTCCGCGTGTCTTTGTACATTTGCAGGTGCGTGTCCGTGGATCTTGCTCGTGTGCGTGCTTTCTGTGGGCGTGCATATGCCGCGCTCCAGCCCTGGGCTGGATCGGCTAATGGCCCTCCTCCCTCCCGTCCGTCCCCCGGCCTGGCCACTCAAGGGCCTGAGGCCGGTCACTCACCGCGGCGGCGGGTTCCCGTTCTGGCTTCTCTCCAGGTCCGAACCGCCTCGGACCGGGTCGCAGCACTTCTTTAGCCACCAGGGCTCCAGCCGGGAAAGCCCCTTTTCCGCCCCCGGGAGGGGGGAATTCCCGTGACGTTTCCGTGCGTCACGCCCCTACGCCCTTTTCATTGGCTTAAAGTTTAACTCTATGACTCGCGCAGCCAATCGGGAGCGACTCGGGCGCGCCCCTTAAAGGGGAAAGGGCCGGCCTGCGCGGGGAGCCGGGAGTCCGGGAGGAGAATCAGCCTGGCGCGAGCTTTTGGGACTGGGGGTCCAGTCCCAAGCGGGATCCGCTAACCGGCCGCTGTGCTGTGGTAGAGTCCCGACTCCGATCTTCTCACCTACCCGGGCCTGTCCCAGCTGACTGGCAACCCCCGCTGCGCCTCACGCTCGGCGACCTGTGATGCCGGGGAACCCCAGGGGGAAGCTGGAGGGCCCTAGTTCTCTATCCCCGCCGGGAGCGGGGCCCCGCTGCCGGGAAGAATTAGGGGAAGAGGAAGGAAGTTGATCTTGCGACCGGGTCAGGACGCCACCTGGCGGCCTCCCTGGAGCGGAAAAGAGACGCATCTTGACTCTTTTCTTACTCGGGCCCCTTGGAAGAGACGGAACCGGTAAGAAGATAGTGACAAGGGCTTTCTATGTAGCTTCCAGGGACGGCTTCTCTGGTGAGTTAATCTTGGAGCATATGAAAAACATGAGGAAGAAAGTTACATTGATATCTGGGGAGCATTCCAGATGGAGAGACTAGCTTTTAAAGGTCTAAGATTGCTTGGCATATTTGAGAACAAGGTTAGGTAGATGGGATAAAGTAAGAACTTTAAACTTTAAATGAGATGGAAAGTCAGAGGTTTTTGAACAATGGAGGAACTGTTTTTAAAAGATCCATTTGTCTGATGTGTGGAGAGTAGAGCATAGAGTATGGAACTAATGAATGAGGGAGACCGATAGATAGATGGTGGCTTAGACTTGGGTGGTAGTGGATGAGGATGGTGAGAAATAATCATGTTCTAAACAGATGTGAAAGACAGAAGCAACAAGACTTGTTGAGTAATTGGATGTAGGATGCAAGAAAAGAGGGGAAGGTTTTTGGACCGCAGAAGAAATTGTCCTTTGGGGGACAGAATAAGGGAAGAGCAAATTCATAGGGGATAAAAAATTGCCCCCTTTTTTCACTGAAGAATGTTTAGAAGCCTTTTGAATGGCATGTTTTGTGCTATACATCACAGCACAAAGTTAATAATCTTTGAATATTCACTCCCTCCAAAGGAATTAATTTTTTTAATAATATTTGCAAATCTAGAAGGCATGTAAGTAGAGATGCTGAGGGTGGTTGGACTTGAAGTTAGTGTGTTGGATGGTAGTCTTGACAGTGGACAGCATTCCCTGATGATTAAGTGTACAGAAAGCATTGGAGGACAAGGTCTGAGCCCTAGGACATTCTTCTATTCTGAGGCTGTGGAGATGAGGGGCCAAAACAAAGGAAATTGAAAAAGCATGGCCAGTAGGTAGAGAACCAAGAAAAAAGTAGTGTCTCAGACGCCTAATGAAGAACATTTCAAGGAGGGTGTAATGAACTGCTTACTTGAACTAAAGGTTTTTCTCCTCCTCAACTGAAGCCCAGGGGATGCTTTCTCACAGCCACAGTGAGTCCTGAGCAAGGTAAATAGTCCAGGGCTCAGAGAGCCACATTTTTTGTTGTTCCCAACATTTGGGGGGATGGGGAGGGAAGAGACATATGTACCCACTGTAGATAATTCTGTAATTATTATTCTTCTGATATTATATACTTAGAAAATGCACACTTGTTCTTGATTGTGTGTGATTTTGTAGTGAACTCTTAGCTTACTAGGTAGCAGCCTGTTTCTTCAGTGCTCAACCTTTCATTTCGTAGAAGTTACAGCAAATGTAAGTAGCTTTGAAGAGTTTCTGCACTCCCTCCTTTTTGAATTGAAGCATCATAGGAAAGCCCATGAGGTTTAGAGTTAAGTCAGACCAGGGTTTGAGTCCCAACTCCCTAGTTCATGACTTTCTCTCTCTGAATCTGTTTCCTCATTTTTAAGAGTAAACACCTCTTACACCACAAGTTTGTTTGGGTAATGTACTTATTAACACACAGAGGTGTTATAACAATGTCACTTCTCCATGTTCAGGTCTTAGGTCTCTAGTTTTCCTTTGAACTTTCTGAAATGTTATTTGAATTCTTGTAGGAACGTCAATAAGATTAGCATTTCCCTCTTAATCCACTATTACTTTCCCAAAGATTTTTTTGTCACTTCCACATCATCATTCTTTCTTGTTGATCAGAATTAAGGCCTGAATATTAGTTTCTCTAGTAGCTTCCCTTACTTCTCAGAGACACCACCATCAATGACACAGTCATGTATGTGTCAGCTATTCTTTGTATATCAGAATGAGATTTCTGACAAATCACACACTTTTCTTTGCTACTTAGCAAGGGTCAGTTTGCAATCACTGCAGCTTCTTCCTTACTATTTGTAGATCAACCAAGGGACAGAATACTCATATTCTTTTGCCATAGGATGCCCTTCAAACTTCTTTACAGCTGTCAACACTACTTCTACAGGGAAACAAAAGGAAGCTTCTAAAGGTAGAAATTGTGGGGCTCAGATGGGAGAACAAAGATATTATAGCTGAAGCCAAGAGCACTCATATATAATCCAGGTTTTTCTGCACTCATACTGGAAGGTGCAGATTAGGAGCATAGTCATACTCCTGATTTTCCCAGTGGCAGGGTCAGGCAAAGTTTGTTTAGTAATGGAAACCAGGGAAGATGGAAGATGAGCTTCAGGACTCATGTCAGCATTTTTCCACACCAGGCTGTTTCCCATTTCCAAGGTTCATCTTCCCTCTGGTTCATCTTGCCTCTGACCCCAGTCCAGGTGGTCTCAGATGTATCCTTGGAGCATTTAGTGAAGAGGATAACTCCCCAAATTCCTGGAATGTTCCTGATGACAAAGGTGCACTGCTGTGGTGGTGATGGCAGCAGTGGTGAAATTATCGTATCTGGCTGGCTGGTGGCCAAGAGCCAGGTATATCAGACTTTTGGTAGGCTCAGCCTCCCTTCTGTTCACGCAAGGCCCAAACTGCAGGTATCCTAATAACATGGTGTTCTGACTCAAAAGCTTAAGAAGGAAACCAGAGGGAAAGGCAATGATATTGGTACTAAGACATTTATTACATCATAAAAAGTCCATTGTTTTCCTATATGTACATGCTCCTGTGGGTAGTCCCCCTGTCCAGCCCTACCTCCCCATTCTCCAAGGTGCCAATTAACTCTCCAAACTAACTAATTAATAAAAGAGGAAGAACTGGAGGAGGTGGCCCAGGGCTGATGGGAGTGAAGATGGGAGAAGGAAACAAAGTGCAGAGTGGTTGGCTTGGCTATCAATGCCTGACCATGGACAGGAGGGTGGGCACTGTAGGGATGGCAGTGATGCCTCCCCAGAGCTGTTAGGCTGCAGGTGATACCTGAGTATGCTCTCAGGTTGGACCCCCAGGAATGGAGAGCAGAGGAGGAAGAAGGTCCTGCAGCCTGACTGTGGGTCCCAGAATGGGCAATAATAGTTCTCTTTTTAGGTCCCCATCCAACTAGCAGTAAGAGCAGCTTGGGCTGGGCCTGAAGAGTTTGTGGCCTCTGAGACAGCTGGAAGGGGGCTGCTGGGGACAATCTGGTAGGAAGTATAGGTCTTGAGCTCTGTGGAGTCTGCCTTAGTTGACCTCTGAGGTGGGAATGGGGTCTGTGGGGCGGGATGTGGCCAGCAGGGGTACTGGTGAAGTGGCCTCAATGAGAGCAGGGTTGAGGATGATGGGAAGTGTCATTGGTGGCACACCCACCTGCAGTGGGGAGGCCAAGGGCTGCAGGATCAGTGGAGGTGGAGGCCCATCTAGGGTAGGGCTCAGCCTGCTGGGACTAGAGGCCACTGGTGATCCAGGGGAACTGCTGTTGGCAGGTCGGGGAGCCTCAGGTTTTTCAAAGTCTATAGGAGAGCAAGGTAGCTATAGTCAGATCCCCTCACATTCCCCTGCTGGTTTACCAAAACCCCTTTCCACTTCTGAACAAAATGAGCTTTCCCAGGCTAAACAGTTGGGAATCTCCACTCAGAAATCATTACCTTTTATTTACTCTCTACCGCCTTTGCTGTAACCCTGTTCAGGTTAATTTTGGCCTGGTCTTGACTAAAATCCCTGAAGGGCAACCTCTACATATTTATTCCAAGTCCCTGACTCAGCCTTCTCTTCCCAAACCTAGAAAGTCTCAAGCAGCAAACTCATTATAGCTTATTTGGTCTTTCCATATCCCATAGGAAGAGCAGGCAAACAGGATTCTTTCCTGGCTCACAGACCAGGCTCAGCAGCAATTCAAAACTAGCCAGGGCCACATCTTAGGCCTTTTGCTTCCCAGTTAACACCCAGCCTGCTAACCCAGAGAGACTCACCTAAGGCCCCCAGTTCAGAGGGCATCTCTGGGGGAGGTGGATGGCCAGGTGTCTTGGTGTCACCAGCAGCAGGAGTCAGGTGGGTTGAAGCCAAAGGTTTTGTGGCATGAGGTTCCACGGGCATGGGGTCTGGGGAAGGTGGAGAATCTAGATGGCATTCTTAATGCTTTCTTTTAAGCAGAGCCCTGGCTACCCACCAGTCTTCCCACCACCCTATGGTATAGAGAACCAATTAGCTCTAGACTCTTTGATAGGGACTTTCTTGAATGAAGTTGGGCTGCGCCCCCTACCCTGGATGACAGTCTGCTTGAAAAGTTCATCTCGCAGGTGGGGCAGAAAACAGTCAATACGTTCCCAGGTGATCTCCCAGAGGGCTGAAGGGCTGCCTCCTCGAGCATCTGCACTGTGGAAAATTGCTGCCGTGTCCATCACCAGGAGCATGTTCTTCAGAGATTCAGGAATGGCCTCTGACTGCAGGTGGCAGTGGGATGATGAGAATAGGGGAGAGGGCATGGGGGAACATGGTAAGAAGGAAGCAGTCACCATGTCACCAGGGGGGAAATAGCAAGTCTTCCTAGCAGGTGGTAGAAACAGCATATAGTGGAAGTTGGGCTGAAGTGGAACATACCAGTAAGTCACTTGAGCCTGCGTGCATGTACTTGTCCATGAAGTCCAGGATGGTCAGCCAGAGGGCCGCAAAGGTAGAGAGTGACAGCAGTGGAGACAGGTGCTGTAGGAAGACCTATGGCCCACCAGCCCCTTTCAGCCATGGGTAGGGCAGAAGGCTTCTGTACCCCTCTCCAAGGCTTGGAGGTAAGCCTACCCTATCTTGTGTGGAAATCTTAGTGATTCCTCTGAATTACAGAATTCTCCCAGGTCCCTAGGTCCTCTGAGTCTCCATAGCTGGGATCCCGAACACCTACATTGCAAATCTATGTCCTATTAGAAGCCTTGGCCTCCTTTCTTGCCAAAAGGGAGGTGAACAGAGAATGGGTAGATAAAGGGTGGTGAGCAGTACCTTAGAGAGCAATGTAGAGGCCCTCATCCGGGTCTCCTCCATCCCGCCCACATCTGCAGGGCTTATATTCTCCAAGAGCTTGGTCAATAGAGGAAACAGCACCTGGGGAATAAACAGTCAACATTTCTCTAGCAGGATCAGTTGGCAGCTTTGCCTCCAGTAAATCAGGGTTGGAGTATATGTTACAAAGGAGAAGAGCAAGTGTGTTATAGGCTGAGGACTGACATTAGGGGTTCTTCAGGCTTTTTGGATCTCCTTGAAGTTTACCGTAAGACCAATGGGAAATCCTACCTTGTTAAAACAGGACTCCCATTCCAGAGCGTCTAGCTTCTGTAGATCATGTACCAGTAGTGCTCGCTGCAGATAGGTCAGTGCCTGCATCCGTACCTGGCGCCGGGCATCGCAGCACAGACAGGCAATGCCTGAGAGTGAGAACATGCTCAGGATCCTTCAGACATCCCAATCTTAATGTTTCCCAAGCCCCAGCTCCAGCTCTGCCCCTGCCCTGCCTGCTCCCCAAGGTTTACCCTGCAGTAAAGGGCACCAGCAGTGGGCCCAGAGAGTGCGTGAGTCAGCTTCAATCTTCCGGCCCCCTGTCTCCAGGTGGCGCTGCTCCTCTGCCCATGAGCTATAGATGGAGGCCGCCCGCGTGTGCAGCGTGTGCATCAGGTCTAGCAACTGGAGTCACAGGAGGAGCAGAACATGAGTGGGGTTAGGCGGACACCATTTTCGCCACCCCTACGCTGTCCCTGATTGAGTCCTCAAGGGAGCTCCTAGTGCCAGTCATGCCCTACTCCTACTCTACCCTTCCTACTCCACTTGATGAGCTCACTACTCCAATCTGGCCGTGTTTCCTAGCATTGTGGAGAATTATCCTGTAGAGGGGAGTTGAGGAGGTGTGTGGACTAAGCACCTAATAACCATGAGAAAGTACTTTCAATTCTTTCATACCTTCTGATGATAAAGTCTCATTTTGTTGATCTCATTTTATTTTTTTAAAATATGTAATGCTTGGGGCCTCCCTGGTTAAGGGAGGGTTAAGATGCAACCTATGAAGCGATTTGCAGCCACTGCAGCACAAGTTCAATTCTCAGCTATCAGGGAGCAACCCACATGGCGCAGCAGACCTCTCCTGACTCACCCACTGCTCCCCTCAGCAGTGTACTTAGGTCGATCTGCCTCTTCTGTTCCCCACTCTGTCTTGGTTGAATCCCCTCACCCCCCACACCTCTGGCCTGTACCCCAGCTCTTGCATGCATAAATAAATAAATCTTTAAAAAAAATAAATCAAAATATAGAATGCTTCACAAATTTGTGTGTCATGCTTGCACAGGGGGCTATGCTAATCTTTTTTGTATTGTTCCAATTTTAATGTATGTTCTGCCGAAGAGAGCACTGTTAACCTTAAAAAACAGAAAGCAAACTTTGGGCTCAGAAGCCTTGATGGGCAATCGTTTCTAGACAGATTTAATGATTCTTTGTTTCCCTATTTTTCTAAGGTTACTCAATGTAAGGCAATTAGTTAGCTCTCCATTTATTTAGTGATATAATACAGTCTACTTATAAAATCTTACCTGCCTTGAGTAGACATAGAATAACAATGGAGGAATAAACAAGAAACTGTTGGTTGCCTCTGGCAAGGGGAACTTAGTGGCTGGTGACAGGAATGGAATGGAACTTATATTTTATCTATTTACCCTTTTGTACCTTTTGAACTTTGTACCATGTGCATATAATACCTATTCAAAAAATAAACCTTAATTTTAAAATTAAGCAAACAAAGATAAGTGGCTTGGATATGGTAACATGGTGGAGGTGGTAGCTGAGGGCCTGGGCTGGAAAACACAGGCCCTTTTTGTCAGCCTTGGCTGTCCCTGGCCCCACTGAGGATCCCAATGTCAGGTGCCGGGAGAGGAGAGGTAGTAAAGGGTGCCATACTTACGTCCTGACTGACCTGTAAAGACACCGTATGGTAGCTAGCAGGCACGCCTTCATCGTCATCGTCATCGCTATGGCCGCACCGGGTGGCATGTTGGCTGGATGTTCGAGGTCGTCGAAGCACTGAGCCCTCCTTGGATTTCTTCTTGAAGCGGTTCCCTTTGCTGTCATATTTGTGACTCTTGCCACGTTTCTCCTGGGACTTGCACCCTGAGTAGAGCCAGACCCAGATCACATTTCTGTATCCATGGCCTGCCTCTTCCTCCCTCTCCCTCGGTAGTCACATGGTTACCCCTCAACTGACTTTCATCGAGTGACCCACCGCCATTCAGACTGGCCTCCACAAAGATGCGCAGAGTCTTGACGCAGAGCTCAAAGTTGTCAGGTGTGATATGGGCAGCATCACGCACGATAAAGGACAGCGATTCCACACACTTAAGCAGGGACTTAGTGTCATGTGGCCCAAGATCCAGCCCCACTGTTAGGCTGTACTGATTGACTAGGGGTGAGGAGCCTGGCCGGCTGGACCCAGGCCCTGGTTTGGAATTATCGATGTCATCCTTCCCCACCTGTAAAGTACACAGAAGACCTGTGAATCCAGGCTTGACCTTGATCCTCAATGTCCTTGATGTCCTCTCAGAAGACCAGGAATCTTTCCCAAAGCTCAAGGAGGGAAAACTCACCCACTGCCCATATGCTCACTCACCATTAACCAACCGCTGTTGACCACATCAGCATCTGTTGCTGATCGGTGGATCTTGCCAGGTCTGCCATGGTCAGTGTAGACCTCTGAGTCAGAAGTATACCCTCGGTCCAGACTCACATCATTTTGATGGAAGGAAGAGAGTTCGCTGTCTGATTGAGCTCCTGAACCATCAGGAAGAAAGGCAGAGTCAGGGTGGGGATGTGGGACAAGGGATGATTCTGACTATCAGAACACAAGTGCTGAAGCCTGGCCTCTCCTCTCTTTTGGTCCAGCTGTTTCAGTCCTGTTGCCAGAGAGCTGAGGGATAGCCTTGACAGCCTCTCTCTTAACCTAATAGGGCAACAGGCTAATTTGAGCCCCTGATGGCATCTAGAAACAGCTGCCAGGGTGGGTGTGGTGGTGAGGGCAGAGTTTCTGGGAAAGCAGTCCTTTGGACAGCAGAAAGCCTAGTTTCACAGTTTTTTCTATTGTCTACTTGCCTTCCTGTTGTTTAACCATTGGGTACTGGGGAGAGGCCAGCAGGCACGAGCAGCCCTAGAGGCAGATGGCAGAAGCCAGGCATGTTTAATCTGCCAATCGTGATAGCCTATATTTTGTTTTTTCTGTTTCAATCCTTGGAGCCATAATTGTTTATCTGCCAGTGTGGCTTTCCCTGGGAAAGGACTTACCAGCATCAGGTGCATCGGCCCTGGCTGTGGCCTGCAGGGCTGCTGGAGGCTTCACACCTGAGCCAATGCATTCCAGCAGCGTGAAGAGGGTGGCCCAGTCATCACCTGAGTGGATGTTGGCTGCATTTGTCTTGAGGAGTTCATGGAGGCCATAGGCTACCTGGTGACTGGCCCGGGACAGCACACTGGGCTTCATTAGTAGCAAAATGCGCAGGGAGAGCAGTACCTGGGATAGGGGTGGGGGAAATAAGAAGCAGGAAATGGGAGGTGGGCATATAACTTATTCCCTACCAGTCTCCAGTCTCCTTAGACCAGCAAGGAGTGTGGATAGGACCCAATTTAGGGCACTGCTGGTCTTATTTTTTCCAGTTTTTAAACATTTTCTTAATGCGAAAATTACTGATTCATATGCATGTGAAATAATACAGAGATTCCTTATATACTTGGCCTAGTTCACCCCAATGGTAACATCATGCAAAACTCCACCAATACCACCCAGTCTTGATTATTTAGTAAACGTTAACATCAAATGGAGGGCCTCCCTGGTGACCTAGGGGTTACGTCTCAGTGCTATCACCACCAAGGCCTGGGTTCAATCCCCGGCCAGGGAGCTATCCCACATATGGCACAGCAGACCTCTCTGATCTTGCCCACTGCTCCCCTTAACAGTGTATTTCAGTAAATCTGCCTGTTTTGCTCCCCATTCTATCTCTGGTGAATCCTCTCACCCCCACATCTCTGGCCTACACCCCAGTTCTATGCAAAAAAAAAACAAACAAAAAAAAAACCAGAGTGATTTTTGACTTTCTTCTTTCTGAAGATGTTTGACTATTCTTTGGCCTGTACTTTTCCATCTAAATTTTATGTTTGTCTGTATACAAAAATCCTTGCTCAGATTTTTATAAGAGTTGCATTAAACTTACCAATCAATTTGGGGAGAACTGACATCTTTACTAAATTGAGTCTTCTAATTTACAAATATGGTATGCCTTTTAATTTATTTAGATCTTTCCTTAATATAATTCTCAGGCCTCTCTGGTGGCACAAGGGTTATAGTCTCGGTGCTATCAAGCTATCGCCAGCCACTGTGACTTGAGTTCAATCCCCAGCCAGGGAGCTAACCCACATAGGGCACAGCAGACCTCTTCTGTCTTGCCTACTGCTCCCCTCAGCAGTGTATTTCAGTAGATCCATCTGTTCTGCTCCCCACTCTGTCTCTGGTGAACCGTCTCACCCCCGCACCTCTGGCCTACACCCCAGTTCTTGTATGCATAAGTAAATAAAAATAAATCTTTAACATTTTTTAAATAATTCTCAGCATGCAGATCCAATATATATTTTTGTTATGTGTATATCTAATTCATTTTATCTGAAGTTTTTTTTAAAAATTTATTTATTTATGTATATAAGAACTGGGGTAAAGAGGTGCGGCGGGTGAGAGACAGAGTGGGGAATAGAACAGGCGGACTGACTGAAATAACACTGCCGAGGGGAGTAGCAGGTGAGATAGAAGAGGTCTTCTGCACCATGTGGGACAGCTCCCTGGCTGGCAGGGTATCAAACTCATGCTGCAGTGGCTGCAGATAGCCTCACAGTGCTGCAACTTAACTCCTTGTGCCACCAGGGAGGCCCTATTTGGACCATTTATAAAAGGCACTGTGTTTTTTGTTTCATTTCCCTATGTTTCTTTTGGTATATAGAAATGTAATTCATTTTTGTGTGTTGATCTTATATCCTGTTGAACTTGTTTATTAATTCTATGTTAATTGTCTTTATACTTTTGTGCCAAAAGATCTTGGGGTTATTATGAATAAGAGCCAGGAAACCAGGTGTAGGTCTGGGACTACCACAAGGCAGCAGGGTTGTGAGCACTAGCTTCATAACTGAGGCCATACTAGAAACACCTCCAAAGCTATCTGTTAGACTCCACTAGTATGTGGTTGGTCATGGGCTCTTACTATGGGACACTAAATGTACTGTTTCAGGCCATATCCATAGTTGCCATTGTGACTTTACTCCACTGCACACCTTCCTGCCCTCCCAGCTGTACTCTGCTTACCTGGCCACTGATCTCTTCTCTCCGGAGTAACCGAATGGCCAGGCGCAACAGCCCCACCACAGCCCGCTCCACAAGAAAGCAGAAATCCTGTGCCTGGACACACAGGTGGTATAGATGGTCTCGAACAGTCTGCCACACACAGCCCACACGGTCCCTGAGGAACATAAGGGATGAGAATAGCCTCAGCTGGAGAGGTCACTGGGTAATAAGCCTCCCTTTCTGATTCAGGCTAGGCCTTTCAGAATGTAACAGACAGGTATAAAGAGCAAGCTTCTCCACTTTGTACAACTTCATGTGTTTTTTTGCCCCAAAGCCCACTCAGCAAAATACTCCAGGCTTCCATCCTTTTGGCACAAGTCCACTATGAGACCTGCCTAAAGAGTGTCTTCTACCTGTTCTCCAGCACAATCCTCAGTAGCATCTCCAGGCAGAAAGCAGCATCCTCCTCATCATATGTCTCTTCATCCGGTGTCACTGAGACTAGAGCCTAGAAAAGAACAATAGCAGGAATATAGACATGGAAGAGAAGCCAGCTACTGCCCTTGCCCTGGCTAAAATTGAGACATAAAACACTATTCCCATCTCTCTTCCCAGATCCAGTCAGCCCTTCTATGCCTCTTTCCTCTTCATTCTGTACCTTCATCAGCTCTTGCAGTGATTCTAGCTGGAGGAACTTGCTTTCTGTGATCATCTTTTCTGGGTCACATTGCTAAAGAGGGCACATGAGCAAGGAGGTCAGTGACAAGGGCAGGAGGGAAGAAAATGTCCCCAAGAGCCAGAAAGAGAACAAAATGGGGTGAGTTCTGGTCACCGTCCTGGATAATTCTATTTTTCAGTTCACAAGGCAACATCTGTCCAGTAGGGATAGGTTAAGACTTCTTCACCAGGGAGTTACCTTGATACAGTCCAAGGCCACTCTCTTGGCCTCCTGGTTTTCAGTGGATGGTCCCCGTACACTAGACTGCTCAGTACCACTTAGTGTCAGCCAGCTCACGAAACTCAGCACTGTTGATTCTCCTCTGCAGAAAAAGAGCACAAGCCCTGGTAAGCTCTAAAGTTCTGATCCTCCCTCCTCCCAAGGCCTTCAGCCTCTGATCTACCCTCACCGGTTTGATGGTATCTCTTCCCGCTGTAGTGATATTTTGCCATTGGGATCCACAAAATCTTCTACCTGGAAAAGTAGGTCAGGAAAAATTTCTATCTGCTCTTTGCATTTCCTGCTTCCCCTGGGAAGTTCTCTGGCTTTCTTCTTTTAGTTCCCTGCCTTACACTGTTGACTGGTGTACACCCTGGCGACTGGCAGAGGCTTCTACCAGGCTTCCTTTACAGTTATCCCCCACTCAAGATTTGTGGTCTTATATTTGAGGTGTTCGTGTTAAGCTTCAGCAGGTTATCAGGCCCTGTGCTCTCAGTGAGTTATATATACAGACAGCACATGATCTTGGAGTTCTTGCTTTTTTATTGTTGCTCAGTCTCCTACCAAGAATTACCTCTATCATAGCCTTGGGTAGCAGTTGGGCTCGAAAGAGCTGCAGCATGGCTTCCATGATATTCTTCCAGCCCTCTCTCAAGATGTCACCATGACGGTGGGCCAAATGGAATACTGTCTTGGCTGCAATGTGGGCTTTAGGGTTGCTTCCAAACACACTGGGCAGGTTCTCAATAGACTAGAAAAGAAGATGAGAAGAGGCTTGGGACCTGGCACGTGCTTGGAAAGGAGACTCTTAGGTCTCTACTTTTAGTTCTTTGAGGGTCCTTTTGCTGGCTCTGCTTCAATCCCCCATGAGACTGGTGGGATGGGCTAACCAGGTTAAGGCCTTCCTCACCATTGCATCTCCCCTCCCATTTCCACGACATGACATGACACTATTTTCATGAAGTTGTACAAGACAGAAGGGGTCTAAGCTCTAATGTAGTCAAAGGAGGGTGAGGGAATATGCTGAGGGAAACTAGTTCTGCATATAGGGATGGATCTATGGCTGAAAGAAAGGTGCTCCTTTGGAACTCCTAGACAGTTCCTGTCCCTGCTTACCTCACTGCTGAGAGCTGTGAATTTGCACAAGGAGATGATGAGATTGTCAAACACATCGCTGAGGCCATAGTGGGCGGAGATCATGGCACATTTCCTGTAACATCACCCCCATTTGAAAAGAGTCACTGGAAGGCCAGGCAGCACTTCCAAGTTCCTGAGGAGGCTGGCTTGGGATTCTTTCCTAATCAGTCCCAGGAAGAAACCTTTTACTCTTCAATCTGTTTAAGACTGAGCTTTCCCAAGCTTTAGCCTCCCCAAAAAACTCAGGAGGAACCCCATTCTAACAAAAATAAGAATAGGCATCATAGAGGCATGAAGGAATCATTTTAGCTTAGAAAGGTAGAAGGAAGTCAAGATTAAGGCCAAAGCTGGGCTACCTGAAGCCTGAGATGGCTTTTTGGATGATGGTCTCCTCAAGGCTTTTGTCAAAGACATAAGAAAGTGCAGCAATAGTGGGGCCCCAGGTCATGGTGAAGAGGTCAAGATCATAGCTGCCGGCAGGCACACGCAAGAATATGCCCTCTGGGGTGGCACCTCGATGAAGAAGCACATTCCATACATAGTTCTCCCGAACCAAGCCTGTCTGCTCCTCAGGCATCACAATTTCCTCATTCCTGTAAGATAAGGGAAGGAATGGGTGCACCACTATGAATCTGACTGGTTCCAAACTAGGACAGGGGTTTTGCCCATATGGGCACTCTCCATCACCGAGAGGTCATCAAAACTGCAACTTTGGTCTCCTTCCTACCCACAAGTGAGAAAGAAAGGAAGTATTCCACAATCCACTTCTACCTCCCCCTCCCCACCCCACTAATACACATACCATTTCAAGGTCCTATCTCTAAGTGGGGCTGTTAGATCTTACATTCTTTCTGGGTATGAGAGGATGAACAATTCTCTCTACCTTTTCTGATTTATAATAAATAATTAAATGTCCCATCTCTGACCTCCGACCATCTTCTAGTACCTACTTTTGGTTCTCTACCTACCCCAGAATACATCTTGTGAACTAGGTATGAAAACACAGCTGCTTTGAGTTTGGGGAATGGGCTCATGACATTCCACTTAGCAGGGACAGTTTGGATATTGTGTTACAACACTTGAGTCTAAATATTGTTCAGACTTCTTTAAGGAAGAAATGAGTTGGGAGAGAAGGCACTGTCCACCTAAGTCAAGGGCATATGAGTGATTACAGTCTGAAGTGACCTTAAAATCTGGGAAAGGAAGAAATGTATTTCTCGTTAACAGAGATGCTACACTATTCTTCATACATACTTGATGGCATGGTACATGTCTTCCAGGATGTCTTGCTCAAAATCTTTGCCTCCATTCACACCTTTTAGGTTTTTTCGAAACTCCTAGAAACAGACCAATCAGTTCTGCTGCCTCCCCCCTTTCCCACCATGTATCACTGCTAAAGCCCCACCCAAGGACTTCCTTGGACTGTGGTAAACAGAACTTAGGAAGTAGTAAATGAAAGAATCCACCTCCCCTTCTGGATTGGCCTATCCTCCCTGATTCCCTTGGACAGAAATTTGTCCATTATGCCCATAGATATCTCATGTGCTTCTTGCTACTTCCAAAAGCTGTGTTGGATCTTGTCTGCCTTGGCTTACCTCCAGTGTCATGGGTGCATTCTGTTTGCGAACGTTGTGATTATGCTGGTCAGTATTAAGCATGATGACAGCATAGGCCAGGGCAAAGCAGGCATCGCTATTGGCAAATGGGGAGCCATTACAATTCTGAAAAAGCAAAGACCCCACCTTTGTCAATGCCTTTCTCTACCAATTAAATCCTCATCCACCCACTGGTCAATGCTAGTATAGAGAGGAAGTGCCAGCAAGAAGGTAGCCAACCTTTTTTCAACTCTTTAACAATAGCTGGCTTCGCCATGGAAAGTTTACTGACATTGCTCTCAGTCTTCTTAGGAGATAGGTGGGTCCTTTAGTTGGAGTCATATAAACCCTCAATCAAATTAATTTGGGATAGCGCCTCCCTGGTGATGCAGCAGGTTGAGTGCAGCGCTATGGAGCTGCCCGCAGCCTCTGCAGCAAGGATTCGATTCTGGGCCAGTCAGGGAGATACCCACATGGTGCGGTAGACCTCTCCTGTCTCGCCCGCTGCTCCCCTCAGCAGTGTATTTGAGTCTGCCTGCCTGTTCGGCTCCCCGCTCTGTCTTTGGTGAATCCTCTCACCCTCTTGTGCCTCTGGCCTGTACCCGAGCTCTTGTATAAATAAATAAATCTTTAAAAAAAAATTAACTTGGGACACTAATCTCTGTACCTGTCATTCAAACTCACCCTCCAATGCTCTGTGAATGCCTCCAGTAACCTGTGGATGACTGGTGCTTCCCCAGGCAAGCGGAAGGCTTCCAGATAGAGGCGGAGAGCTTCATCTAGCCGTAGACCCTGAAAGCTGAAGGTACTACAGGGAAAAAAGGAAGAACAAAGAGGCTAAAGATGTGTAAACTGCACATGTTGTACTCTTAACTTTCCCTTTAACCCACTCCAACTGATACAGAGGAGGCTCTGGCCACAGGGAAGTATCTCCTGGTTACTTCTAACACAGATTAGAAATTAACAACATCTAACCTTAGTACTTTTTCACATTAGTGTCTTCATGCCTCATCTGCTGGAACCCAGAATCTAGCATGTACTCAGGAACCTTGCTCTACTCCTTAACAATATTCTCTATGCAGAATGGAGTAGGCTCCCAAAATGGTTTTGTTGGAGACTCTTTCAGGTCCAATAAATATAAATGATGGGAAGAGGAAGAGTGAGTGAACTGGGTCCCCTGCAGGAACTGCTAAGCCTGCTTATTGGGTTGGATTGCTGTCTCCCCAGAATAATCACCAACTATGTCCCATATTTCTTGCAACTTCCTCACCTCACAAAACTCTCCAACAGGTCAATGTTTTTGCGATCACTCACAAACTCTCCAATCATTTTCTTGTCTAGCCGAGGGTTTTCTCGGAGCCATTGGGCTACCTCTGTGTTATCCATTGGGATGGTGAGGAGTCCTTTCTCCTGCAGAAACTGGATCCCCTTCTTTGGTTTCTGATTGAACTGCTCTGTGCCAGTGATCAGCAGCTGGAGAAGAAACACTAGTTGTCAGAAGCTGCTCTGCCTGAGGCAGCTAAGACCAGACTAGACTCTATCACAGCTAATAGCTGGTCACTGAATAGGCTCCCAGAACATGGCTCTAAGTGACTCTAGAACTAAGGCTGGATCTACTGTCCCTTGCTTTCCCGAATCATTGTGTCTAAAATTGACTGAGGAGCTCCTTTTCACTTCTTTTCTGAGTGCTCAAGATGCACAGCCCTCTCGCCAATAACTTGAGGATCATGAAAAAGAAAGAGGTTAGAGCAGCTTTTCTTTTCCTCTTCAGTTTTACATTCAACTCTGGCATCTGTTTATAGCTAGCATCTTGATTCTAGCCTAGCTTGGATTCCCCTTCTTTTGTTGGTTTCTTAGCTCTTATGGCCCTGGGGTTTGAAGGGCAAGGTGAACTGTGATGGTAATTCAATATTTTTATCTATTCAGTCACAGACCTGTAATCAAGGGCACATACAAACCAAAGTTATTTAGGCTGGCAATAAAAGGAAGAAAGGGTTAAATAGAAGGTTTTTCTCTGTGTTAAGAAAACCAAAGGCACATTTATTTGAACTTTACTAAAGCACCAGAATAAATGTCAATTCTTTTTATTGCCAATCATCAACCCAGAGCTAAGATGACCAGTAACCTTCAGTGACCCACATGATTTTAGTTCCCAGGGCTCTTGCCACCACCAGTTAACACCTGTCAGTCAGGGCAGCATTTGCCCAGGGGCATACAAGAGTGTATGCCTAAGTACATGGCTTCATAAGGAGTAAAGAAGGGCTTCAAAGAGACTTGGAGATTGCTAAAGTCTCAACAAGCCCTACACTTTCTTAGGAAGCTGCACAATGAGCTACTAGATTCTCCTTCATTCTCTGGGACAGACACCCTAGAAAGGACACTTGGTCAGAGATGGCAGAGACTTAGTTCTGGGGATATCTGTATGTACCTTCTTTTTGTTTTTAATTTCAATCAGTTCCTGTGGATCTGGCAAAAGGCAGGAAAATCGAGGTGGCTTCCGGGTAAACTTTTTGTCAGCTAGGAATTGGAGGTAGAGAGAGAGAAAAATGTAAGACCTCTTTTACTAGGGTAATGACTTTTAGAAGGCTGCTGATATACTCCAGTGAAAAAGGAGAATGCCTCAGAAATTTTCTTGTCTTCATTAGTCTTCCATTTCCCTAGAAAGCCTGTCTTCTGGATTTCAAAGCAGGGTGAACAGCCAAGGAAGGCTCTTTCAGGTAGTGCTCCCGCTCATCTCCACAAAGCCTTCCAGTTAAAAGGGTTTAGGGTCATGGACACCTAGTACCCACCCCCAGAGTCACCAGTTTCCACCAGATCACTGCATCCTGGCTTCCCATGTTCTGCTGGCAGCCGCCCTCCACTTGGCAGAGTCAGGCCTGGAATGTCTGGGGCCATGCCTACAGCTTTCCCATCACTGGCTGCTTTCTCAGCTGGTGAAAGAGAAAAAGATATGTGAAGAGTTATGGAGTAGGGAGCCAAGCTAAGCTGCAGAAGTTGAGTCCCAAGTCAAGGGACCTGCATGTTTCTACATAGGCTGTCAGCTCTGAACATGATAAACCCATAACCAAGCAAGTGGCCATTAATCCAGGTCAGCCAAGTATTAGATTCTATAATTTAGCAAAGAGATTATACAGTCATTTTCCTTGATCTTCTACAACCTCAATCTCAAGGAAAGATAGGAAAGACTAATTAAAGTAGAGGCAGATACTTGGGGTCATGGAAAGAAGGATTTGGAGCTTTTAGGAACAAAAGCTCTATATCCTTTAATCTCTATTCTCTGTTCTCCCCATAAAGAAATATTAATTCTATTTTTAAAAAAGAAGGCCAAAATATGGAGGAAGAAAAAAGGAGCAGTCCATGAGTTCTGCTAACCTGCCTGCCTGGCCTGTGTTCAATACACCAGACATTGAAAACACAGACTTGGGCGTGTCCCAGGGGAAGTGATACAAAGGTAGGAGAAAGAAATCATCTAGGAAAGAATGGACAAGCATTGAACCCTGGAGTCCTCAGGAATGAAAAAAAAAAAGAAAGAAATGTCTCTTACTATTGCTGCCTTCTCGGGTGCTATCTGCTGCTTCATAGCTAGGTCTGTTTGCCTCTTTCTTCTCCTGCTGGGTGAGGTTGTTAACTTTAGCCTGGCAATGGCCTTCGGTGCTGTCAATCACTGTCAACAGGGCATCAAGAGACAGTAGGTGTGTTGTATAGAGCTGACCGGACACAGGGAAGGCATTCTGGGAAGTAAACATCCAGTAGACTTGAAGTTAGGATACTTGACACTTCAACCAATCATTTCCCAAAAATCCTAAAATCTCCTGTAATGTCCAGAGAAAAATGTCTTTCCTCTGTTTCCCAGCCTTTAAATGTTTCCCTCCTTGTACAAAGCATCCTCACTAATTCTAAAGAGATTTCCGTAATAGAGCTTTCTTATTAGAGGCAGTAATAGTGCTCAGCACCTTGGACAGCAACTTGGTGAGATCCTCAAAGAGGTTGGAACAGTAGTAGTCACAATCATAGTTGATGTAGAGCTCAGTGACAAAACTGGGGATGTGCCAGAGTTGCACAATAGCCTCCAGTGCCATCTCCTTCATTTCATAAGGCATCTTGGGGTTTTCCACAGTGATGATCTCCATCAGCTTTTTGATGTACATCTGGCAATAATCCAGTTAATTGTCATTTGGGTGAGGAAAGAAATCAAGACAGGAAGAGACAAAATTGGATGGGAAAAACATTAAACAGGAATCAGAAGCCATAGACATGCAGTAAGAGACACTTAAAAGGGATTCTATTCCCTAAATACATCGCTTTGATCTTCATATTGCAGATATGGCAAGCTCTACCTCATACCTAATCCAAAATAAGTTGCCTATTGCCCTTTTTGTGCTGTCTAATTAAGTCTTACCTGGTCCTATTTAATGTCTATACAATTTAGTGGCAAAGCCAGCTTGATCTGCACCTCCATTGCAGAGGAAATGCTAGATAAATGAGCTATTCTCACTCATGATGAGGTTACCTGCCAGTTCTCATATTTGGATTCTCTCATTTTACTGCCAGCGAGTTTTTCTTAGGTTCTTTTTAACTTCTCCACTACAGAGACCAGTCAATGAACCAAACCACTGAGGTGAAAAGCATTTCATTGAGGTGAAAAGCAGCCCCTAAATACCACCCTACAGTTAAACAAAGTTGGCCCCACCAAAGATGCCATGCATCTTCTTTTTTCCCCCTTCTTCCAATGTCAGGAAACTCACCTCCAATTGGAACTTGAGGTGCTCCCTCATGCTCTCAAACAGTAGGAAGCATACCCGTAGGGAAGCAGCATAAAGGTTCAGTCGCTCTACACTGAGTAGCTGGATATCAGAGAGGATAGGCATTAGGCATTAGGCACAAACAAGAGAAAAGCAGGAAAGCAAACTGGGTGAAGTAGCCACTGAGGTCCTGAATTCTGAGGGGAGCTCTATATCAAACCATTCCTGTACTTCCCTTTGGCTACTAGAGTCTCTAGGGAACTCCTCTTGACTATGACTACTGGTCAGATGGGAGGAAGGTTCTTTCCTAGGTCCTATACTTAGGAATCAACCAAGCCTCCCTGTGTTTCCTCCAGGCATTGAGAGACCCTGAAAAATAGCCCGGGGCTCTGAACCTCTATAGCAATCTTACCTGGAATAAGTGGCGACACATCTCATCCTTGATGAGGCCCAAGAGGGTTTGGCACTGTGCTACAGGTGCTGACTCAAGAGCCACTGTCAGTAAATGCAGTCCCATGTGTATCATAACCTCTGAGTTGTGGCGGTCATGTGGATTGGTGAGGGAGATGAGGAAGCGGAAGAGTTCACGGATGCAGGGAAGACCATAGGGGACCAAAGCTGTACCTAGGCAAGGGAGGGAAACGGTACTGCTAAGAAACAATTTTGCCTAGCCTGTCCTGCAACATATAAAGGCATTTTCAGGTAAGTGATTTTCATTGAGAAAAAAAAAAGTTTTTCCCACTTCCTATTGTTCACCAGACTCCCACTCTATAAATCCATCCGTGTAAGAGTCCTCTGGTTTCATTCCATTTCCTGACTAGAAAACGGCCTAGTGAGGCCTCCCTGGTGGTGCAGGGGTTAAATCTCAGTGCTATTAAGCGACTGCTAATCACTGCAGCCTGAGTTCCACCCATTGGCCAGAGAGTTAACCCACATGGTGCAGCAGACCTCTGCTATCTCGCCCACTGCTCCCCTCAGCAGTGTATTTAGTAGATCCACCTGTTCTGCTCTGTCTCTGGTGAATCCTCTCACTCCCTGCAACTCTGGCCTACACCCCAGTTCTTGTATGCATAAATAAATTAAAAAAAAAGGGGAAAAAAAAAAAAAGGAAATGGCCTAGAACTTAAACCAGTAGATACCTTGGGCCCAAGATGGTCTAGGCTCAGCTTAGTGGGTAGGAGGATGAGGAAGGTGAGTGGGCAGAGTCTGCTGAGAGTACCCACCTTCTTTTTGGGAGGACTGTGTAAAGCGTACACCCCGGGGATTGACGTAATCCATGTCATGGACAGAGGCAGAGTCAGAGTGATCAGCAGGTGATGTGCACTCCTCTAACACTTCAGGAATGGATTCCACGGATGTTGACTGGGCCTTTTCCACATGGACCCCTTCCTGCTATGACCAGTAGCAAGAGGACATAGGAAGAGGGATGAGGGAAGGACAACAAGGAACTTACGCCCCTGAACTATCTGTCCTCTAAGTATCTTTCACAGATGGCCGTATAAAGCCAGGTCAGTGGACAGTGAGTCAATGCTATATCAACCAAAGATGGCTCAGGGAAGGAGTTAAGATGAAGAGCTTAGAAAACATTTCCTGAAGCATCACCGACCTACAGTGACTAGAATCCTTCAGACAGCAGAGGGTCTCACAGGCTTGAGATTTAGAGCATTACTTTACAGAAAAAGCCATAGCCAGTTTCCTTATGGCTGCTAAGTGCTAACTATATGCATAACTTGATAAACCCCACGGGCCATGTCTCACAGTAAGTCCTGATGTGAGCTTTCTAAACAGCAGAGCTAATTTTGAGAAACAGATTAATCCCCATACTCCAAACTTTGTTTGAGCCAAGGCTTGAATAAAGGATCCAAAGGATCAAGTCACATAGTGAAAGACTAGAGAGAAGCCTTTAGCAATCAAAGTCATACCTGGGGGTCAGGCTGCTCAGGAACTCCTAGCTCACTGCTGCTAGGCTCTGCAGCTGTGCTGTACCCTGGAGAGCTGGGCTGCTCCAGATCAGTGAGGTCTTCCTTGGAGGTGGTCTGGGAGGAGAACTCTATACCACTGTCTGTAGAGGGGCTGACCACTGCTGAGGCAGCTTCTGAACTTGCAGAAGAGATGGGAGTGGGTACATCAATGAAGGGCATGCCTCCTGCAAGGCAAAGTAAATAAGGCTTGAAGAGTCAACTGCTGGAAACCACTACCCTCCATGGAACCAGGAGCTCTATTTGCTAGACTGCATACTAATCTCTGCATATACTGGTCTCCAAAGTAGTCAGAATACCTCTGCAAGGAGAACAACCATAAGTCACTGCAGAGTTGCTAAGTTGTTGCTGTCTAATTTGACTTGGAGTTTTCCCCTTTTTGCTCTTATCAGAAAGACCAAAGCGTTTTAGTATGTTGTTTTTCAATATCAAAATCCCTAAAAGAGAATGAGCTTTTTCTCTGTTTATTCTAACCAGAGTTTTCCCCTTTTTGCTCTTATCAGAAAGACCAAAGCGTTTTAGTATGTTGTTTTTCAATATCAAAATCCCTAAAAGAGAATGAGCTTTTTCTCTGTTTATTCTAACCAGAGGAAAGGAAGTAGCCCAGGGCACTTACCAGTGAGATTAGAGGATAAATTAGTTCCATTGGGAGTGGGCTGTTCTGAACCTGGTGTAACTTTGGTCATATGGCGAGGGGGCCGAGGAGATCTCTTCTGTTTCTTCCACTTGGATGAATCACTCATGCCTCCTGCTCTCATTTTCAGCTGGAAATATCACACCTGATTAGCCCTGGTATTCAAACTAAGTCTCTATCCCTACAAATTGCCCTTCTCTTAGTCCTACTAGTCCCTCAAAAACAGCATCTGTACCACAGGAACAATCCAGACCATCAGAGCACAGTCCTACTCCTCTAACCTGGCTTCTACACTTGTCACTTTACAGGTCAGCCTGGCAGCCTCTATGTGGAAGGTGACATTCTGCTATTTTAGGCTAGTCACTGATAGCTCTACCACTCACATATCACTCTGCTTCCCTGAGTCCTGGGTGGCAATTCTGATGGTGCCTGATGCTCCTACAGAAAAGGTCAGGGTCAAGACTCCTTTGCCCAGAGATTCAGATCTCTTGTCCCAGGACTCACTGGCTTTCCTTCTTACCTACTTGCGGAGTGGCTTCCTACTCCTAGTTCTTATCCAACTATGAGAGCCTACTCCTTCCAAGCCACTCTTAGCTTTCCTATTGCTTTATGAATAGGGCCTACAGCATAAACATATTCCTTACTTTTTGGAATATTTGCATTAAATTAGTCAAAGATTCATTCCATGGAGTTAGGAAGTAGTAGAAATCAAGTTGATTTGTGGAGTTAGGCATGGAGGATACTGTCAGGCAGCTGTTCTGTTCTCTGTTGCTCCCAATTTTGGCATATCTATGGGACCACATTTTCTTCTCACTGGTAGTTTTTCTCCATGCAGTTTTGTTTTCAGATGGTGAGACTATTGATTTTTTGAGTCTTTGCTCTACTCCATTTCCCTCTCTTTGTATTTCTTTTCCTTCTGTAGCTTCTTTTTAGTCACATAGGAAACTCTATCATCTGTTGACTATACAGGATGTAAATTTTGGTGCAATTTCTCTACCTTAAGTTCACAGCTACTTTGTTTAGGCCCATTTTGCTTTCCTAGTCCTGATGCATTTTTAGTGAGGGTTTGAACCCAGTCCCCTTCAGCGTTATACTAAACTATTTCTAGACTGACAGTCTATTCCTGGAGTGGACAATAGTACTTCTCTTCCAGGAACCATTAGAACAGCACTAAAAAAAAAGAGTGGAAGCCTGCCTCTTTCTAAAGGCTGAATATACCTAGATTATCCTTGACTTGTTCAATTTGTTCTGATATTTAGAGGATAAGTCTCCCTTCCTCAAGCACCCTGCAAACTTCAGAAATCAGTAACCTTGATCTCTTTGCTTAGAAACCACATAATTCTTCCTTCCTGAGTCATAGTTCTACCCATAAAGGAGAGAGATCACAACTTTGCACTGAATTTACACTTAAAGAGTCCTTCCACCTCCAAAATTCCTGTTGTCATTTTGTCTAGGCCCTGAATACTGTGGCTAAGCAGGAATCAGGATGCCTTCTCCAGGAACCACTGAAGCTTATCTAGGTGAAATTCAAGGTAAAAAATGTTCTGGGGTAATGTCAGTCAAATATACAGATAGGCAAGAAGCCCAGGAGATCAATGAGGGAAAACAAGAACCTCCTGTCTTCAATTGTGACTAAGCTCCCCAAAGTACTAACTACTTTTGTGGGTTATATCTCTTCTCTCTAAGCAGCTGTCCACCCCCTACAACCCCATTACAGGGACTCCAGGTAGTCCTACTTCCACTGAGAAACTAGTTACTCACTGAGATACTTTCCCACACTAGGGTCAGTCCTTCCCTAGCTTCTGCAAATCTAGCACCAACATGATTAGTTCAGTAAGTATTCTCTGCCTCCTCGTAGAGAAGAGATCAACAGGCTGCCAGTTCTTACAAGTGTTTCAGCCCTTAAAAAGCTTAAATAGCTGTGCTTCCTGTCCTAAAGTGATGGGGAGGTTTTCATGGAAAAGTAAGCATCTTATATATATAACTCTGTATTTCCAAGGGACAATATAAGGTTTACAAAAGAAGGGCAGGTCCTAGATTAATAATCATGGCAAAATGCTGGGTAGCCACTGAAGAGAGCTGCAACTTGAGACAGGCAAGCACACAAATGAAACTCGAGACAATGCATGCAAAGAGAACACAGGCCTATGGACTATCCAGTTAGGGGTACACACACTAACACACACAGTTCTTCTCTCAGTGACCTATATGTCGACAACTATACCTCTAGCATGTGCCCTCTGTGAAAGCTTAGACTCGGTTCACTTATAGGCTGATTTTTAAAAGACAGAGGACAGAGATCTATATAGATCTCAAAGTATCCTGGTGGCCAGGTATATCTTGGCACCTTGTTCCTTTCCATCCATCTAGAGTCCTAAACTTTGGAATGACTGTAACTGAAAAAGCAAACAAACAAAGAAAAAAAAACCTCAACTAGATGGAAAATACCCTTTCCCTCCAAACCCAGTTCAGGCATCCAGATAGAGTCAAAGACTGTACTTAAGCTATCTATGCCAGTTCTGAGACAGGGAAAAGGTAGAAGAGGAAAGGTTGTAGTGTGAAGGTCCCTCCTGGTTCCCCTAGAAATGGTAGATAGTAAGTTTCTCCCCAAGATATCAGCAGGGCCCATGTTCCGTATCTAGGCTTGCTACATGATGTATCACCAGTTCAAGGCTTCCTTCTGCCTCCAGGCAACCAGATACCCCAGGAAAATCTCAACACTGCATACCTACCAACACATGCAACTCTTCCAAAGCCGTGCTGTTACTAGGAAGGGGTAAGTTGCACTCTACACAATGGAAATGGGACCCAAATGTTACATACAAAAAAATAAACATTTAAATAAACAAATAAGTAAAAAGAGGGAAAAGAGAGGGAGAGGGAGAGAGACCTTGAGGTTCTTAAAGAGTAGTACCCTCTCTAACTGGTTCAGGGCTTTGGTCTGCTCCCCACTACTTAGCTCCAGTTTGTTGAGGAGACATGGAGAAATCTGTGAAAGACAGGCAAACGAACGATTTAAACAGAGTGAAATTAACTCAGACACATGCCAACAGGGCACAGGGCAGGAATGGGGATGGATGGCAGGGGAGAGGGGAAGGTCAGATGCATGCATCAAACAGCCAAGGGTCATCTCCATGGGCAGAAAACCTCTTAGGGCTATAAGCAGAATCCTCATTAGAGGCCTGTGGAGCCTAGGATTCTGATCAAGATATAGAGAGGCCATTTTCTGACCACTGTTCTTCTAGCAGTTTGAAAAACTTCTAATTTGGAGCCAGGCTTGATCTGTTTCTTCAACAGAGACTAGCCCAAGCATGAGTCCAGTCTAATCCAGCATTAGGTTGAGATTTGTGGGGTAGCCTCTCTAGGCCTCCTACCTGCAGACAAGGCTAAGCCCTTAGGAATGGCAGGACTTTCACCTTTACGATATATATTTTTGGACTAGCCTGATGGGTCATACCCAGTTTCCATGAAGGACTGGTTCACCAGCTTATGTGGCAGGTTGACAAAGAAAGGCTGGAAAGGAAGGTTGGGGAAGGAGAGGATCTGGGAAAGAGCAATTTCTCACAAAAGGAGTGTTAAGCTATGTTTGAGATTCCAGACCCATTTAGACAAAAGTATGTTTCTGCTAAGCAAGGGTATCCAGGAAAATGCCCATAACACTAAAGTTGGGAGACCCATATTTGGACAACAGGTCATACCTTCTTCATGTTGGTCCCCACATAGTTCTTGGGCTCTTCTTTAAATTGAGGTAACCTATAAGATAGAGAATCCCATGAACTGTCATTAGAGATAATAACAAACTTCTCCTTTCATGCCAGCAACTACCCAAAGATGCTAAGGTCCAGAACATGCCCATTTAGGAAAAGCTAGAAAAGAGAAGAAGGCTAATTTCACTCTTTCAAGAGCTTCATCAAAGAGCTACAGAATCGGCCTCCCCGTTGGCGCAGCGGTTGAGCGCTGGGTTGCGGGGCTGCCCGCAGCCTCTGCAGCGCCGGTTCAATCCCCAGCTGCTCCCCGGTCACTGGAGGAGGGTCCCACATGGCGCGCAGACCTCTCCTGCCGCCCGCTGCTCCCCTCAGCAGTGTACTTCGGTCCTTCTGCCTGCTCTGCTCCCCGCTCTGGTGAATTCTGTCACCCTCCCGCGCTTCTGACTGTGCCCAGTGCTTGTATGTATCAATCAGTCAATCAATAAATTAAAAAAAAAAAAAAAAGAGCTACAGAATCTGGGCAATGTAATGACATGAACATTTCCTGAAAAAGAAGGTTATCATCAGGACGAGATGACTGAGTGCGTGGATGCTCTTTACATCCTTAAACTGACTCCTTTCTGCTTATGTTCTGTTTAGCAAGTATTGCTAAAAGCCAAATGATGGGGTGCAAAATCCCAGAAGACTATGCAAAGGGTGAGAAAGTTGAAATTCTGAAATCGATACATTTGAGCCTGAGGATTAAGAAGCTCTTGCAGCAGGATCCAGGGGGCAGATCTAGTCTGTAATGATAAGGATTGTTATTTATAGATCTGAGAATAAAAAGAAGCCCCATGGACAGCTTTTTTACTTTTTTAATAGACTTACTTTTTAAGAGCAATTTTAGTCTTACAGCAAAATTGAGTGGAAGATACACTGGTTTCCCATGTAAGTTCTGTCTGACCTGCCTTTCTCACAGGTAACTAACCTCTCCCATTATCCCCTAAGGGAGGCTTTAAAGCATTGCTTCAGCTCTTCTCAAAGTTAAGTCTATTGAAAGGAGGTGTAGGAGAAAGGTAGTTAAATTTAGTATGAAACAGTCTCCTTGGCCCTAAGTTGAGGATCTTAACTCGGGTAAACAGCAGTCTTGGTTTGCCTGAGACTGAGGGGATTTGTGGGGCTGTGAGACTATAGGACTTTCAGTGCTAATCAGGACAGTCTAAGCAAACCATGATTGTTGGTCACCCTAACCTTGATCCTTTCTCACAAAATCTGGGCTGAGTTTTGAGAGCTCAGCAACTTGTTCCAGGCTTCCTTAAATTTGTCTTCCTCTCTGGGTTCCTTTCCCCAGCTGCTAACTGCACAGAAACAGACACAAGTTTGGGAAGCAGAATGAGGTCTGTCAGCCTAGCTCAAATAACCCTCTGCCTCCCCCTGAGGCCAAGCCAGCTCCCTCCTTTCTCCCTTGCTTGGTTATCCTGGGCCCAGAGAACTACCCCCATCTATAATCCCAGTGGCCTCTGATGTGGCTGTGGGGTTGGCCAGGTCCCTGAAGTGGCTGTGTGGAAGCAGGCAGGCTCAAGAGGCCTGGGCAGCCAGGCTGAAGCAAACAGCAGCAGGTTTACCTTGTGAAGAGCAGCTGCACCATGTCTACGAGAGTGTGCTCTGCGGATTTTCTCAATAACTCTGCACAGGCAAAAACAAATAACACAGGTGTCATTACTTGCTGTGCTATTATCAGGAGGCTTCTCAGAGCAGACTCCCCTCCAAACCTTGTTTACCAAGGATTATGCCAAACTTATTAAAACCAGCTCCAGTTCAGCCTGGCAGTTATAACTTCATGTGCCCACAAGATGGCACTACTGAGTCAGGGAAAAAAAGGGGTGCAAGGATGCATTCTCAGGGTTTGCAGGCTGGTATGATCCCAAAAACCCCAAGGGAGGGAAATTTGGTGCTTGGGTTAAGTCAGTCTGGGTCTATCCCAATTCCTGCACTGGTACAATGGGCTAAGGTCTCTATTCTACCTGTGCAACGGTCAAGTACAGAAACATGACACCACAAGGTAGGTGATGGAGAAGCCCTGAGTTTTTAATTTCTCTGAGGTTCAGAGATAGCAACCTGTATTCATACTCACAGACACTGGCCCCAGGAAAGGCAAAGGGCCCAATATCCAAGCACCTACCACTGAGCCTCATTTCAAAGCAGATCCTGAAGCAAGACTGCATAATCTCACACACAGATTCATTGGTTAAGTGGGCACCCACTGGGGTCAGCAACAGAGTTCGCAGCACCTACCAGTGAAAAAACAGAGGCGATACCGTGATAAATAAGGCAGCTTGGGTGAAAAGGGGTACACCTGAGATCAGGGAAGGTATCTCCTGTTCCACTAGTCTCCTAGATAAGTATGCAGGTGAAAGAGTGCCAGGAACACTGATCTCATTTCAATTGGGAGAGGATTCGCTCAGGAACTTTTCTTGGAAACCATCTTTACTCTGCATGACCCTGACATAATTCAGAACTCATTCCAGCCCTACTGGATTAGTCCAACAGGTGGATAGCACAGTCTGCCAGAGGTAGAAGTGTAATAAGGGCTTCCAATATTTGATAGCATTTTTAAAAAAGTTTTAATTATTTTTCTTAGAAAGAGCTCTTGCTTTTGGTATAGGAGCTGCTTGCTTGGAAAAAGTAGCTCCCTAAGCCTCAGTCAAGTCAAAACATATCTTTATGAAGCAGGTAGACTCAGGAAAGTAGAGTCATGACATCAACTCCTGGCCATTAGCCTAATTATGCTCTTCCCCTCCATTTACCTGAAGGATTTTCATCAGGACAACCTCATCGCTGGCAGGATCGGTGCCCACAAAACGGGCATGGGTGACAGCATCTGCCATGTTCTCCATGCCCTCTGCTGTGCCCTCATGAGCAGGATCTGCTCCAGCGAAAAAGGAAAGACTAAATGATGTGAACAGGAGAGAGAGAAAATGCAAGACATCCTGTCTTCAGACTTCACTTTTCTACTCTATGATTCCCTAACCCATGGATCCTTGAGTTATCTGAGAGTTTTGAAATCAGCTTTAGTGAGCATCTCAGCACAGAAGCCATTGTGTAAAACAATGGTTCTCAAACTTAATCATGTATCAGAATCACTTGGAGGGCTTATTAAAAATACAAACTGCTGTGTCCAGTTATAGAATTTTTTATTTAGGAGATCTATAAGTGGGGCCTAATAATTTGCATTTTTAATGAGATCACAGGTGAAGTTCCTCTTGCTGGTCAGGGGACTATACTTTGGGAATCACTACTGTAAAGCTACTCATTTTATTTTAATTTTTTAAAAGACATTTTATTTATGCATACAGAGCTGAGGTATAGGCCAGAGGTGTGGGGGGCGGTGGTGAGGGGATTCATCAGAGGCAGAGTGGGGAGCAGAACAGGTGGACTGACTAAAATACACTGCTGAGGGGAGCAGCTGGCAAGATAGCAGAGGTCTGCTGCACCATGTGGGTTAGCTCCCTAGCCAGGGATAGAACTCATGCTACAGTGGCTGTGGATAGCTTCATAGTGCTGAGACTTAACCTCTTGTGCCAACAGGGAAGCCCAAGCCAATCATTTTATAAAGAAAGGGCATGGAAATGAGTTTTTGGCTCAGAGTAAGGGTCAAATAGGTCAGAACTTTGAATGCCAAGATTGAAGTCTTTCTCTCTTCAGATTTTTCTCTTTCAACACAACTTCCCACTCACTCTGGTTGATTTTGGAATTTTGTGTTCAGGAGCAACTGAACGTGTAGGGAGGGACAGTCACTGCTTTCAATACTCATATCTCAGTGCTACATTTCAGCAAATCAGACTTCCTACTTTGATTCTATTCTTATTTAAAACAATATGACATGGAGCAAAAGTTCTATTAACAGCTTATCTAAATGGACATTAGGGGCCTCCCTGGTGGTACAAGGGGTTAAGACGCAACCTATAAAGCTATCCGCAGCCACTGCAGCATGAGTTTGATCCCCTTCCAGGGAGCTAACCACATGGCGCAGCAGACCTCTCCTGACTTGCCCGCTGCTCCCCTCAGCTGTGTATTTCAATCTGCTGTTCTGATCCCCGCTCTGTCTCTGGTGAATCCTCTCAACCCCCACACCTCTGGCCTGTACCCCAGTTCTTGTATGCATAAATAAATCTTTAAAAAAAATGGACATTAGGAAAGAAAAGAGACAAACTAAATAGTACTGGAGGTTGGGTAACTGGCGAGTAGGAAGAAGGGAGAATTTCAACTGAATAAAAAGAGGGGGAAAGCTAGAGGTCAAATAACCAGTATTATGCTGGAAAATAACACAAATGTTATCAAGGGAGTAACCCTGCTGTCATTCATATATTAAGCACCCACAAGGAATAGCCGAAGTGAACTTCATCAAGGTCTACAAGGGTCCTACAGAATTGCATAAGCAGGAAAAAAATGGTAGGGACCTGATAAAACTGTTAGTAACAGAGAAAGTTGCTCCAGAGGTGGCACGATGTAAAGCAGAAGTACCTCCTAATTTTAAGTGGTGGGAATTAGAAGGCATTCTTACAATTTTCTCTTTCCTAGTACCTGAATTAAACAGAGTTTCTGAGCCAACAGTTCAGGGGCTGGCTGAGAAATCAGAACATTTTTTTTTCCCCCTTTTTTTTTAAAGATTTACTTATTTATGCATACAAGAGCTGGGGTGTAGGCCAGAGATGCGGGGGGTGGGGTGAGAGGATTCACCAGAGACAGAGTAGGGAGCAGAACAAGCAGATCTACTGAAATACACGGCTGAGGGGAGCAGTGGGCCAGACAGGAGAGGTCTGCTGAGCCATGTGGGTCAGCTCCCTGGTCGATGATTTAACTTGTGCTGCAGTGGCTGCAGATAGCTTGATAGTGTTGAGACTTAATCTCTTGTGCTAGCAGGAAGGCCCCAGAACATTTTTCTTACAAAAATTAGTAGCTTTCATCTGTCTCCTCTGTCAAGTTTCTGATACTTAGTCAAAGAAATTTTTGCCATACCTGTACTCAGCATCAAGGGTGGCTACTTAAGAGATCATGCAAAAGGAAGCCAATTTCACTATAATATATATATATATGGGACCATCCAGCTCCTTTTGTCATTCCTTTTTGCTCCCACATCAACACAGAAAATCCTATATTTTCTCACAGCCCTGCTAACATTTCTTATTGAGGCCTCCAGGATCCATAGGAGGACCCTTCCTTGCACAGGAAATCCAGGTCCTTCTTAGTATTGTATAGGAGCTCAGTGACTAACAAGCAGCCTTGATCCCACCTCCCAAGGTTGCTGGGGGTTCATTTCTTCCCCTCTCAATAATCTCCCTATTAAAGTAGTTTAAGGTCTATTGATCTTTTTGTAGTTCTTATCCTCTGAGCTTGAATGAAATATCAAAATTAATTTTCTAAAAAATGTAGAGGCCTTTAGAACCATAGGAACAGACTGCCAGCAAACCATGCAATCAGTTTCACAAACCCTGGTCTGGTTGCTGTGTGAGCCAAAGAAAAGCCTTGGATTACAGGATTGAGGGGTGAGGGATAGTTTCTTTTTTAAACAAAATATTGTTTGGATTTGGCTTACTTAGCAGATTTTGTCTTTCTTAGGACCCCTTCCTCAGAATGTCCTTTCCTGGACATTCAGGAACAGACTACAGGGAAATTTGCCATTCCCATCTTTGCCTTTTGGCTTTCATATACTCCTTCCTGCTCCTTTTTTCATGGCCACTGCAATCACCGCACCATTATTCTCTTTTCCCACCACAGAAAACTCCAATGACCAGCTGGCCTGAGGTCTCCAGTGACCAGGTTGTCTGCCAAGCCCAGAAAAAGGAAAGAATAACACTCACAAGAGAACAAAGGGGAAAGGCACAGAGGACAGCTGCTGGAGACTGTGAAGAGAGATGACCTGCAGGTGGTGCTCAGAGCAAGGCTGAAGTAGCTGGACCCGATTTTTTGCTTAGGAAAACTATGAAGCTAGGACTAGGGTGTCTGGAGAGGCTGATGCACCTACTTAGATTCTAGCTGGCACCCAAGATTCCTGCTCAGGATCCTGTATGCCTCAGCTAAGCAATCCAACTTTCTAGAGAAGATGCAGGATTTTCTTGCCCTAATGAAGGCCATTTTCCTTTCTGAATCAACAACGCAACTATCCTTTCTGGCTAGCTACAGCCTGAGCCACCCCTTTTCTTGTCTCCCTACTTAGAAACAAAGACAGCTGTCTGTTTTCTGTGTTCTTCCCCCTTGCACATGGACTGGCAATAGGGGAAAAGGAATTCAGGATCCTTATTGACAAGACCAACTAAAAAGGAATCCCCCCTAAAACCCATAAACAAATTCAGAGATAAATAATGGACTGGAAAAAAATATTTAGGCTAGATTGGGAGAAAACATTTTTAATGTTTTCCACTATACAAAAAGCTTCTTACAAATTAGTAAGAAAAACAAAACAAGCCAATAAAAAAACAGCCAAAGGAGAGGAAATTCAAATGTTCAGCCTCAAGGGAATAGAAACAACAAAATTAAAGTTTTTTTCTCCAACAAATTAACACAAATAAAGAATAGTGATAATATTCAGTGCTGCTGATGGGACAAGGAGGTGAAAACTCTCAAATACTAGTGTTGGAAGGGCAAATGCTGCAGTATTAAGGGAAAACAACCTGGCAGTACCTATGAAAATTTGACATGCATGTAGCTTCTAACTCAGAAATTTCAAGGACAGGAATCAGTCACACAGACAGAAAAGACGGAAAATTAATAAATAAGGACACGTGATCAAGGATACATATTTCAACATTACTTATAATGGATCAAAATAGGAAATAACTTAAATATTAAATATTAATAAGGGAATGATTAAATGAAGTGTGTTATAGCTACACTATGAAAATTATATAGCTATTAACAAAGAAAATCTTACCAGGGGCTAAGAGAGGGAAGAAATGGTATGTTATTGTTTAATGGCTAGTTTCTTTTTGGTGTGATAAAAAAAGCTCAGGAAATAGATGGTGATGATGTTTGCACAAATAATGCCATTAAATCATATACTTAAAAATTATTAAAATGGCAAATTTTAGAATATATATATTTTGCCACAATAAAAAAAGAACACAGAAACTTCCAGTTCCAAGATAAATTAAGTTCCAGGGTTGTAGTGCACACTGTGATGATTATAGTTAACAATATTGCATTGTACATTTGACAGTTGCTAAGAGAGTATTTATTAAAAGTTCATATAAGAAAAAAAATGTGTAACTGTATGAGGTGATGAATGTTAACTAAACATCTGTGGTAATCATTTTGCAACATACATCAAATCTACTTTGTTATATATCCTTAACTAATGTTATAACTAACATTGTCAATTATGTTTTAATAAAACTGCATGAATAAAACTACAGTTATGTATATCTTTCTAAGTTACCACTATTGAGTAAAAACAAGAAAATATGGGGCCTCCCCGGTGGCGCAGCAGTTGAGTGCTGGGTTGCGAAGCTGCCCGCAGCCTCTGCAGCGCTGGTTCAATCTCCGGCCGCCGGGCGAGGGTTCCACATGGCTTGCAGACCTCTCCTGCCACGCCCGCTGCTCCCCTCAGCAGTGTACTTCGTCAGTCTGCCTGTTCTGTTCCCCACTCTGGTGAATTCTCTCACCCTCCCACGCTTCTGACTGTACCCAGAAGCTTATATAAATAAATAAATCTTTAAAAAAAAAAACAAAAACAAAACAAGAAAATATGTAAGCACATAATCCTGTTTTCTTTCTTTTTAAAGGTATACTTTGGACCTCCCTAGTGGCATAGGGGTTAAGTCTTGCACTATCAAGCTATTGCCAGCCACTGTAGCCTATGTTCGATCCCTGGCCAGGGAGCTAACCCACATGGCACAGCAGACCTCTCTGGTCTCACCTGCTGTTCCC